AATGTAGAACAGTAAAATGCAGTCTTTAGCGAGAAATATCAATAAATACAGTTTTATTAAGGAGATGTTTTACTACAACATAAAGTAGATATTAGACAGTATGCAAACGAGATAAAGGAGTGTATATTGAAGTTATTAGGATCTGCTGTGTAGAGAATCATGGAATTGTACTGGTATCTAACAATACCATCCTTAATAAATGCCATCCTTATAAATGTATATAAATACAATACCGTTTTAAATGATACTGGTGTTTTAATGTTTGATTCCATTAATTAATTAAATATGTTTTGATGAATTCTACTGAAATGATTGTTACATTGTCATCATGTAACTATTTTGTTCTTTCATTTGCCTCACCAGAAAAGTCACACCTCCTTTTGCCTCCTGCTATGGACTTCAGGTTCACATTAGGTAAGCCCTTGAGTGTGTCAGACTAGTTGTTGTTTCAGAGGTTAATTCAAGACGTGTTATGTTTGCATACCAATATAATGAGCATCAGGTAAACGTACCCATTTCTATTTTTTTAATCACAGATGGGATACCACTCAAAGTGATATTTTAAAACATTATCGACTCCATCATGGAAACCTTTGGACAGAAACGTGCCTTGCCCTGCATTCATGTAGACTGGCCTGCGCTCTCACTTATCAAGATAAAAGTTGAAATAATCGTCTGTTCTTTTTATTCTAGGACCCATGTGCCACTTTCAGGGTGCGTACGGGTGCTGGAAATCCTTGAAAATGCTTGAAATTGTACGAGGTGTTTTCAAGGTTTGAAAAGTGCTTGAATTCTGGGAATGGTGCTTGAATTTGGGATAAAGTGCTTGAAATTGTAAATGCTTTACTTCGCTTTTTAGATTAAAAGAAAATAAAGAAGTCGGAGCGCGCTTAATTGCTTCGCTTTTACATAAAACAGCTCCGCTCCGGCCTTCCCGCGCAATGCGCGTGACCGGCAAGTGTTTTTGTTACGTGTGTGACCTGGGCATTCTGATGAGAGTGATAGATGACAGTATGCCAGGAGGTTGCCATTTCAACGAGCGTTGGCTAGCAGAAGACAAATACAAGCCATAGCTAAGACGAGGGTCAAGCGAAGCCCAAGAGTAGCCTCCTGCAAAGTGTGCAACAATAACGATGCGAGAGTCTGCGCTGACGAGCCACACCACACGAAAGGTACGCCATAGTAGAGCATTTTAGATTAGGCTATCGTTGCATGTAAAATACATGACACTTTTCTCTGTGCGCGGCAAAAGAAGCTCGCCAAAATGGCTTCACTAGTCTGGCAGTATTTTAAGTGTCCGAAAATGACAATAAAATAGCGGTATGCAACGTGTGTGTGAAGCAGAAATCCTGCAGCTCCACCCGCTGTGACGGACCGGTGAGCGGAGCAGAACACACATTAAGAGTTAGACCTAACACACTTAGCTATTTTATCTACCTCTGGAACAAGCTAAACTAGTTATAAATATATTTATTTTTCACTGTCAGGTCGCTCATTACTGGATCAGTGAGTTGCAGGAGATACTGACGGGCTGTCAGGAGAGAGAGAGAGGGGGAGAGAGGAAAAGAGAGCGGTATCGGCCGATACTGATTCCGGCGATCGGCTCCAAAATTGGCGATTGGAGCATCCCTAATAATTGTATATGATATGTTTTATAATGATTGATCATGAAAGTGTTATCAAAGCTGGTAAAGTTGCAGCTAGTTTGAATGACTTTGTATACTGCAGGGTAGCTTGTGGATTTACTCCAGGTGGAACTAAAGTCTGATTTAACACTTGATTATATTTCACATCATTCATCCACATCTGTGAAGTAACTAAAGGGATTATATACATGCAGTGGAGGAAAAGTACACCATGTACCTCTGAACTGTAGTGGAGTAGAAGTACACCGTGTACCTCTGAACTGTAGTGGAGTAGAAGTACACCGTGTAACTCTGAACTGTAGTGGAGTACAAGTACACCATGTACCTCTGAACTGTAGTGGAGTAGAAGTACACCATGTACCTCTGAACTGTAGTGGAGTAGAAGTACACCATGTACCTCTGACTTGTGTTTACTGCCAACCTAAAAGTACCTCAAAAATAGTAATCAATAATGTATTGAAAAGTTATTTGGCTGATCGTTTTATATTGGCTCAGCCAGGTTATATGGGATGCCCAGTCTACGTACAGATGGGTCACTCATTTTAAAATATTAAACTTAGTTTTCTTTTCTAACATTTTTAATTTGTCATCCTCATGTAGAATGCTATTATGAAACACACATTTGGTTGTTTATAGCATAAAGAACATCTGATTTAATGTGAGGTAGGGAAATAATCATTTGAGTATAAGTATGTGTATATAAATATGTCATTTACAACAGCTGTAAGATGCTTGAAAAGCTTGAAAATGCTTGAAAAGTGCTTGAATTTGACTTTGGAAAAGGTGTAAGAACCCTGCACTTTATATAAATTTCTGAGCATGAGGTGGGGTTAAAAATAAGTAGTTGGACATTTTATGAACTATATCAATATCATGACTATTTGGTTCATTTTCTTGCAAACCAGCCTTTTTTTGATGGCTTAAACCCCTTGTAATGCATGTGAATAGCACCTCTGTTACCGTCTGTTAACAGCTAATGTAAACTGGCTCGTTATGTTTTCAAGACGGATTTGATTTTTGTTTTGAGGAAAACACATGGTGTGTCCTGATTTGTACTCAATTTAGTGTTTTGTTTGTATTTACAGGGAACAGCAGAGGTCGAAGTGCAACAGGCTCGTGATGCACAGCATGAAGTTATACATTGCCCAAGAGCCAGATGCAGTTATAACCATCAAGTAATAACCATGTGTCTCCATGTATGTTAATGTGTTGTGCTTTTAAACAAACTTGTTACTCTTTTATGACAACTGTTTTGAAATAATCACATTTTAATAAAATGTATTAACATGCCCATAACGTTCCCTTTTTTAATTTATTTGTTTAATCTGCGATGTTTCAATGCTATCAAATATTTAAAGGGTTGGATTGAAATCAGGAAGAGTTTGTCGTATATAGGTTCCGGCAACTCAATTGTGTTTTATAATTTACTTTATTCTCGTGTGGTTCTTAGCAGATTGTTATTTGCATTGGTTACACTTAATATCTGGGCTTTTAATTGTAGGCTCATCTCATCTTTTCATATGCAGAAAAAATCACATTAGTGAGTTTACCCAACTCCTATAATTGCTTGGAATCGCTTGACACATATTTTTTAAGTTTTACCAAAGCAACAGTTTTTACAGTGTGTGAGGTGTTATACAATTGTACTGTACTCTGGAGAGTAAGGTAAAAAAGGTAAAAAAGAAACAGCATGATGGGATGCGCAGTACTAGTAGAGAGAACCAAATATGTAAAGCACTTTTTTGTTAATTTATGATTTGCTGCATATAAGGAATAAAACAAAAATCCTCTGTCGTACCAAATTGAAGTATCATTATTTTGCATCGTGTTGTATCGTATCGCCCCGTATCGCATAATGTTGAATCAATTTGTATCGAACTGTATCGCAACAGGGGTGAATCGTATCAGCTCTGAACTCAACACTGCTGTTAGGAAAACCTTATCTGACCCGCATATTTCCATATCATGTGCAAATGTAATATTTGAAAGTGATTTCTTGTGTTTTACAGTTCTTCTCCCTCTTCAACTTCTTCTTCTTCTTCTACTTATTATTTCATTATAATGATTATTATTTATAGAATTACAGTTTTCATAATAATAGTCATAATTATACAAGTCTTCTTGTATATCTTATTCTTCAAACGGAGTCAGACATGTCTATAATGTCTTATTTAAATTTTTGGGGGGTGTGTCAGGGGTCATTACAAAATTATATTTATATTTACTGATACATTCAAGCTTCTCCTTTATTCAGAAACACAGATACACAGAGTGTATTGTAAATACTTAAAATACAGAATACTTAAAAAGTAACAATTATACGATGTTTAATGTTATAATTGTCCAAAATCTTCTTTTATCATTACATGCACAGAATACAAATCTGAAATGTACTAAATATAATTATTTTGTTTGTTATTTTTTCAACCTGGCTTTATTATTAGACATTTCAATTACGGCGTGTAATTCATCCAGATTTAATAAATATTATTTGTTTAGTTTTTTTAAATTAAAATGTACAATTGGTACATTTGGTGACTCATAACATAAGCCTGTGTAGAATCAGGAAATAATAGAAATGAAAAAAAAAAATGTGTATAATATTTTATAACATCTTCTTTACTTTTATTATTTCATGTCTGTTTCTTTTTACCACTGTACACTGTACATGTCCCCGCTGTGAGAATAATAATAATAAAGGATTTCCGATTCTGATAATACTGTAATATATTTTTTATACATTCTTAATATTTTCTTGGTGTACCTTGATTATTTCAATGCTAACTATGTACATGTATACATGTTTTGTAAGTATACACCTAAATGTGTGTTCCGTGGATATCCTTGTGAATCAACACTTGTACTTGTTAAGGAATAATTCTTCTAGATATCTAACACTGAGGCACTTCTTTATCGGTGTTTGTGGGCTCTAGGATGTGAAATCCTTGAGGCCATGATCGTCGGACGCAGGTGGCTCAGTGTTTAGTCTACTCCTTCAGAGATGTTGATTTCTCTCTGTGAACCAGTTAAAAGGTCTAGCATAGAGAGAGGTTCTTCAGAATTGACGTGGCAACTCTACCGTGTGGTCAGAACCTCTGACTCTTTGATTTGTGATGTGAATCCTCCGGCCGAATACTCTGAATAAACCCATCAGTGTTTGACATCAAAGCTCCAACTCTCACCGTGTCTCCTTCCTGAGTCGGTGACTCCATGCATTACTACACAGAAGTTTCCTCCACAGTACTGACCGTGAGCCCTGTTCCCATTGGCTGGAATAGTAGGGGCTGGGGGGTGGGGGTGTGAGGGTGGCAAGATAAAAGGAGCAAATGTCTCTCGTCCTGCTTACACACACAGACACACTCACCCTGTGCCTGCCTGTCTGTCCGTCTGATTGTCGAGGCTAAAGAAGAGGAGAGGCTCCACCACCTGAAGCTTTCACTTGAAAATGTAAGTACGCTCACACACACACGCACACACACACACACACACATCCAAACATGTGTAATCCTATTTGAGATAAGGCTGAGGATAAGGGCTCTGCTTCTTAACAAGGGAGAGAGACATGCAGGGTAAAACACTTGTTGAACAACACGCCCTGGCAACACACTCTCACTCCCTAAGCGTCCAGGAGCGACGCTTGGTCAGGGTCCCGTGGCATCCAGTTGTGACGCGCCGAGGCTCCTTCAGCTTCATAAACGGACGCAAAGAGCTTTCAACTGATTGCAATGTATTCCCATCGGCGTCGGTATTTGTTTGTGTCGGAGGCTGTTAAAGGCAATGTGACCGTCCATTCCCATTGGATAACGGAGAATTGTACACCCGGAAGTAAGTATTCCCCTTACTGTCGATTGATTTGACAGTGATATCTCCACTACTCATCAACTCAAAAACACCAGATTACTGTATCCTTGTTAATTAAATGACATTGATAGGTTTTATTGTGTGTACAATGCTTTTGTCACGTTTTCCCCTTCAATTCTGACAAACAAGTCGTTTTCTATGAGTTTTGGATGGCCGAAGACATGACATTACCCACAATCCTCTGTAGCAACCATAGACTGTATAATATAGACTGTATAAAACAGTTAAATAATACATTATTCCGAGTGTGCTTGCTTTTCTCTTTGAAAGTCATCACATAACGGCATTGTAATACACGTTTCGGCTGCATTAAATATGACATATCTGCCGTAGTTAACTCTATGTATAGAGCCCTGATGACAAGACTTCCAGACAAACAGGAACTGCCGCCAAAACTGAAAACTTGATGTGGATCTTAAATATATAAGCAATTAAACAACATCTTACATTTCTTTTCACACAATATGTCTCCTTGCAGTATCAACACTAATTCGGCTGACTTTTATATTTGATCCAATTGATAGATAGGCTGTATTTACGCCATAACGGTGCACAGCTGATAGAAAGGGACACCTACTGGTTAAAGCACGTTATTGCATTTTATAATTGTATTATTAGATATGAATAGGATCCCTATAAAGTATATTCTTTACTCGTCGTTATTCTCTACTAATAGTTCATTAAAGACTGTATATAATGACTTTTGCACATCCCTTTCAAGATTTCAAGATCTTCTAAGGTTTATTGACATTAAAGACTGTATATAATGACTATTTTGCACATCCCTTTCAAGATTTTCTAAGGTTTATTGACATATCATATTATACACAACTACGGTGTAGTTATGCAATGAATGAAAAACTTGGGTCGCAGGTTCCTCAACAGTGCATTACAAGACATCTATCAATATGTGTGTACCTCCACCATTACATTGTCATATTCTGCACATTTCTTATACTATCTACATACATCTTATAAGAGTATAATACATATGTATAATATCAGTTTAAATAAGTGCTTAAACATAGTTAACATGGCAGGAAAGCAATATATTAGACGTTAAGTACTTTGTCAGGCTTAATATTTATCTGTAGATACAAATTTCACTGTGTGTGCTGTGTGCTCTGCATGTGTGACCATCAAAGAGGGTTTCATCCCTCCATATTCATCTTCTATACCCCCAAAGCTTTTTTCTTATTCAAAAGAAGACCTTAACCTAAAGTATTCTTTAATGTTTAGATAAAGCCTTATTAGTTTGCAGTGTGCGAAAAAGCACACGTCCCACCGTCCGGGACGTGTTATTTACAATATCGGACAAGTAGATCTTTCAATTGACTTGTCCGGTGGACAAGTGACGTTTTTAGCCCTCATTTATTGACAAATTATTGATAAATTCAGTTTACAAAAGGCAGAACTCATTCGCAAATTGTCCGTGTCCGCCATTGTTCGTTTAGAAATGTTAGTTTCGGTTCTGCTTGTCGATTCAGGAAATGCATCTCGCCGCTTTCTGTACTGTTAGACGGGGGCGGGGCGGGAAGTGTAGCACAGTGGCAGGGTTGGGAAGCAAAACTCGGTTCCGAGTAGGAACAAATAACAATGGTCCGGTACCGGGATTAATAAGAGTTGTGAGGACAGGAGGCCGAGCCCCGCGGACCGCAGCTCTCTCTCCCTGCTCCGGATCATCTGATCGCTGCATGGTGCAGCTCAGCGTCTCTCTCTCTCCCTCTCTCTTTCTACACTCAGCGGACCCGCTGCCCGTTTAACAGCCTAATCTTTGTTAAACTTTCTTATGTTCTTTCTTTAACGCGTAATGAAGGTTATTAAGCGTTTTAGCTCCTACGTTGTTAATATTGACCGCCATTTCCTTTATGAAGTAAAGCAGCCTCCCTGTCTGTGTCCTCGCGCTGTCCTCACATCCCCCGACCCCCAGACTCGGAGGAGCACAGGGATGTCAGTATTGTTTATGAAGCAGGGTATAGAAAATACATTATTGAAATGAAAATACTATTTATTTACTTTTACAAACAGTGAGCAGCTGGGCAGCTGCAGCATGTGTATTGCAGGACATGTGTAAGCATGCAAGCGTCTTTGAGTTGTAGAAAAGCGCTAGGCCTATAGGCTATAAATATAATGTATTATTATTATTAGGCCTATGTGTTGGACATGTGTGGTTGGACTCTGTCTCACAGGCAGGTTGCAGTGTAACATCAGAGGAGACTTGGCCAATTGTACATTCTCAAACTGCACCACATAGAACTAACTAAACAATGCAGAGATTATTTTTATATAATTTTATTCAATAACCGTAAGAAATTAAACAGTATGAAGTGATTTGTAAATAGGAATACAGATTTGACTCGTTAAAATCCAAACTATACCCAACCCTATGTGTGATGCAGTAAAATCTTACCGCTCACTTACGTTAGCGGTGTCATAAAAAACGTGGGAAAATGTAAAATACGTTGGCGAAGAAGAAGATTCCAGTGGCCCCAATTTTTGTCCATTCTGGACAAGTGAAAAATGTATTCGGACAAGTAAATTGCCAAACTCACTTGTCCATGGACAAGTACTCTCTCAAAACTTTTTCTCACACTGGTTTGTCTGTTTTGCACATCCTCCTATTAATATCTAATAATAAAATTATAAAATGAAATAACGTGCTTTAACCAGTAGGTGTCCCTTTCTATCAGCACCGTTATGGCGTAAATACAGCCTATCTATCAATTGGATCAAATATAAAAGTCAGCCGAATTAGTGTTGATACTGCAAGGAGACGTATTGTGTGAAATGAAATGTAAGATGTTGTTTAATTGCTTATATATTTAAGATCCACGTCAAGTTTTCAGTTTTGGCGGCAGTTCCTGTTTGTCTAGAAGTCTTGTCATCAGGGCTCTATACATAGAGTTAACTACGGCAGATATGTCATATTTAATGCAGCCGAAACGTGTATTACAATGCCGTTATGTGATGACTTTCAAAGAGAAAAGCAAGCACACTCGGAATAATGTATTATTTAATTGTTTTATACAGTCTATGGTTGCTACAGAGGATTGTGGGTAATGTCATGTCTTCGGCCATCCAAAACTCATAGAAAACGACTTGTTTGTCAGAATTGAAGGGGAAAACGTGACAAAAGCATTGTACACACACTAAAACCTATTAATGTCGTTTAATTAACAAGGATACAGTAATCTGGTGTTTTTGAGTTGATGAGTAGGGGAGATATCACTGTCAAATCAATCGACAGTAAGGGGAATACTTACTTCCGGGTGTACAATTCTCCGTTATCCAATGGGAATGGACGGTCACATTGCCTTTAACAGCCTCCGACACAAACGAATGCCGTGCTTCCCTAAGCGTCAAATACCGACGCCGATGGGAATACATTGCAATCAGTTGAAAGCTCTTTGCGTCCGTTTATGAAGCTGAAGGAGCCTCGGCGCGTCACAACTGGACGCCAAAGGACCCTGACCAAGCGTCGCTCCTGGACGCTTAGGGAGTGAGAGTGTGTTGGCCCTGGTGTAGGAAAAGGGGCAATGTTCACATGTTGGGACATTTGAATAAGCACCGCTAATCATTTGTAAAGAAATATGTTCAAAGCGTTTTTCTACAATAAAATTAACTTAGTGTTGTCGTACTGCAACAGGATTTTTCTTCAATACAATGTATATGCTTTGTTCGTTTGCAGTTGACAAAAAAGCTTATAGTAATTATATTTTCCGTTGGTCATTATGTTCATGTGATGTGATCTTGATAAGACTATTAACCGGGTTTACTGTATGTGGCTGTACTTTGGCCCATTGTGTTATATGAGAATGAGTTTATAACAGTCAATAAACTATACATTTGAGAATATGTATTTTTTCATGCCAATCTGTTCTGTTCGCATACATCAATAAATTGAAAGAAAACTGAGGGATTATCACACTGGCTTAATGTGTCGGTAAGAGGGTCAAGGGTTCATCCATTCATTTATATTGTGCAAGGCTTAGGGTGTGTGTGTGTGTGTGTGTGTGTGTGTGTGTGCTGTAAATGAATACAACACTTAATTTAATTTATTAAGAGTGAGAACAAAGCATTGTAAATGTGTCGTAAAAGAGAAAGGGGATCATATGAGGCATTAAAGTTAATAATTAAAAAACAGTTTTGGAAATAGCAACCAACAACATTGTTATTTTGTTCTACTTGTTGGCAATGAACAGTTTTCCTTTCAGTTTGAACTTGCGCTCTTCTAATTGTTAAGGAATAATTCTTCTAGATATCTAACCACTCACTTGAAAAAAAACTGTGAATTAGGACCTGCTAGCCGGTACTTGGCCAAGTGGAAACGCAACCAAAGACAGGCCGCTGACGTCACAGCTCTCTTAAACGGGGCTCCGCGCTGTAGTGGAAACACACCATTATTTTAGCCGGGCCGGCTAAAATGATTGGTCGTACTTTTTACAGTATTACGGCTTCCACAGATGACATTTTTGTATGGATTTTTTGTCAAAGCACTTAAGATATTCATTGCTATCGGGATGTTAAGAGCATTCCATGGAATATAACAAAAAGTGTATCTCGAGCCGGTTTCTCAAACTTACCTACCCTACCTTTAATGTATGATGCATATGTCATGTGTTTGAGCTGCCAGTTTTTCTGTATGATTTGAAATTGGTGGCTCAACAATCCAATTGAAACTGCTTACTATTAGACTCAGGGCCAGGTCTCCAACACGTCGATCACGAGCTACCGGTAGCTCGCGGGCAACTTTTCAGTAGCTCGCCGCTCGCGGTTCACAGACTGTGTAGATGAAATCCGACGACAATAAATGCACGCACCTGAATCAGTCCGTGTCGCTGCGGCTCAGACACACATGGATTTATGTTTAAAAAAATACTCGCGTTAGCACCATGTCAGGTTTGTGGTGGATTTAATCAAGTCTTGGATTGCATAGTTTGAATGGCCTCTTGCTATTTTCAGTTGATAAATACGTGTGTAAACTAAAGTTTGTGAAGGCAGGAGGAAAAAGCTTCCGCGATCACCGTCTCCTCTGTGTTCCTTCAAACCTCGCCCCCTCCCTAAAAATAATGAGTGACAGGCTGGTAGTAACCTGATAGAAACGTTATTATTCACTTAATCACTGATTGAGATATGATGAAGCTAACTTAATCTCATACATTCATGGGATTTATGTAACAGTAAAACAGAGAATAAGTGTGCACCCACATGCAGTATTTTAGTTTTGATATGCTAGCCTGTTGTAACTACTCCTGTTGTCTGCTGTGTTCAGACTCAAGTCATGTTTGTGATGCCACATTCAGGACATTCAGTGTCCTTTTTTTTTAACAGAAGACCGTTGCTAGAAGTATTGTTTTTTTGTTTTTGAGGATGGAACAATTTCACACACAGATATAGGGAGGCTAGACCTATACAATTGATTTATTATGGTTTATAACTTAATGTCAAGACGAAGAAGAAGAAAAAGATGGCTGAACTGTTCAGTGTCAATCCTGTGAAGATGGAGATGGAGGTTATAAATCTCCAAAATCATGTTCAGCTTAAGTCTCAGCAAAACTCACAACATTTCTGGAGCCTTGTAGACCCAGAAAACTATAAGAACATTCACCAAGCAGCACTGAACATTTCTGCTTTATTTGGCTCTACCTTTGTGAAGCAGCTTTTTCTGACATGAATGTCATGAAATCTAAATACAGAACAAGACTGACTGATGAACATTTAAATGACTCTATTAGAGTGAACCTAAGTGGGTACACTCCAGCATGCACCTCTATGGTGGACTCCATGCAGTGCCAGTCATCTCACTAACTGTAAAAAGGAGTGAATGCACTTATTTTACACATGTGCCATAAGATGCTTGTAAGGTGGTAATGAAGGTGATTAAGGTATTTACTATGTGGGCCATAATAAGAAGTGAACAAATTGTCCTTTTTGTTTCTTTTTCAAAGTAGCTATTAGATAAAGAAAAGGTTGGAAACCCCTGACCATTCCCCCATAGACCATATACAGATTTGAAACTGTCATATGAATAAACAAATGTGTTTTTAAAATTCAAGTGTTTCACATATTTAAATGCAATATAATGTTACAACATGTTACAGATTTTACATGAAATGTGTCAATGTTGCTACACATTTTAAACGTAGCTGCACATTTCAGTGTAAGCAAGTATGACTTAATTTCCTTTAACCTCACTTGGCATTACAAAACTGGATAGATTTTACATCGATCCACTCATCCCTACAAGCAGTTGTGTAGAAATCAGGGCCGTCCCTGGCCAACACAAGGCCCCATGCAAAGTTATATGATGAGGCCCTCTGTTTCGCGAGCATCAACGGGGGACGGGGGACGGGGGACGGGGGATTAGTGGAGCCTCGCAGCTGCGAAACCGTGCCGCACCACACTAATTGCGCCACATAAGCACATAGTTGAGGCGCCCTCCCCAAGATGAGACCCCCTCCGCAAGGTGAGGCCCCACGCAGTCTGCATGATCGGCCTGTAGGGAGGGACGGCCCTGGTAGAAATGATTCAGATATTTAAGTAAAAATAATCTACAGTGTCAACATTATTTATTATAGTAAAAGTCCTTGATTCAAAATCAAATGAAATTGCCCTCTGAAATGAAATGAAGATACTCATTACTCGTACAAAAAGTACACCTCAAAATTGTAAGTGTTTGAGAAGTTTTTTTGTACTATTTTCCAGTGTTACCATGGATACAGCAGAGTTCCGGCGCAGGGGGAAGGAGATGGTGGACTATGTGGCCGACTACCTGGACAACGTGGAGCAGCGACCGGTCTACCCAGATGTGGAACCAGGGTACCTCCGTTCTCTGATCCCCGCTGAGGCCCCTCTGGAGCCTGAGAAATATGATGATATAATGACAGACGTGGAGAGGGTCATAATGCCAGGGGTGAGATCATGCTTCTGTTGAATTGTTGATGCCCTCGATGGCGTTGGTGATAAACATATTCCCTTGTGCTTCTTCTGACTGTGTAGTTCAGATTAGCTCGTTTAGAAAAGTTATACTGGTATAGAGAAGACAGTTCTTTTATTGAATCATGACAACACATTTTGAGAATATATCAAGTAATCTGATTACAACATGTTTTTAGGTGTCCAAAGCTTTCTCTTGGACTCAGAATAGTGTATCAATGTATTGGCTTTGGAGGAAGGCCATAAAGGAGGGGCTGGGATTTTAGATTAAAAAAAAAAGTGATACATTTCATGAAGTGCTATTTTTAGGATTAGCAGAACCAAAGTTGTTTTTTTACCGTATTTTAAAATACGGCTTTATGAAGACATATTTAAAGGACATTCATACAGCAAACCAATCCATCTGGGGGGAATTTCTCCCAATACATTACATGTATTACTCTCATTGTGTCCTTGGTTTTCTAAACAAATGACTGGAACCAAAGAAAGGTAAAAATACGTTTTTCAAAAAATAATGACAATGACAAATGACAAACGAATGACTATCCAAGGTCTTGTTTTCAGATGAATTAAGTATTTGCATGTTTTTTTCCAGGTCACTCACTGGCACAGCCCATACTTCTATGCCTACTTTCCAACTGCTTCCTCTTACCCTGCCATGTTGGCTGACATGCTGTCTGCAGCTATTGGATGCATTGGATTTTCCTGGGTAAAAGACACTTTGCTGTGTCTCCGATTTACAATGTTATGAACATATGGAAACACAGAACATTTGAGAAAATATTTTTATATTTTGGGTTTGTTTTCCAGGCTGCCAGCCCAGCGTGTACAGAGCTGGAGACAGTGATGTTGGATTGGCTGGGCAAGATGCTGAACCTGCCTGAGGATTTTATCGCTGGGACAGAAGGCCAAGGAGGAGGAGTCATCCAGGTAAATGTTTTTTGTGTTTTTTATGCTTCCCTGCAAACATTTTCCCAGGCAGTCCAAGGAGTAAACCTACGTTTTATAATCTACCCTGGTTTGAGACAAGCCAAGTCAAAGGCTTAGTTTTATAGGCTTAAAAGAACCGTGACTCACAACTGAGCGCTGCTGAAATCATATTCACTAGGAATTTGGGTACTATTGATTGTTGCTTTTTCTCTCCCTGGTTCACTGACAATTGGCAGGAAATTGCCTTTTAATGTGTCATCAACAGGTAGACAGAGATGATGATGCTGGGATTGTTTCGTGTGGCAAAAGGCTAAGCGTTAGTTTAGTGTTCCATCGACAGAAGTGCAGTAGCAGCAGAGGATGCTATCTATATACAAGTGTGTGTGTGTGTGTGTGTGTGTGTGTGTGTGTGTGTGTGTGTGTGTGTGTGTGTGTGTGTGTGTGTGTGTGTGTGGTGTGTGTGTGTGTGTGTGTGTGTGTGTGTGTGTGTGTGTGTGTGTGTGTGTGTGTGTGTGTGTGTGTGTGTGTGTGTGTGTGTGTGTGTGTGTGTGTGTGTGTGTGTGTGTGTGTGTGATGGTGAGTAGTGGAGCATGAGAGTGCACTCTGATGACAGATCATTTCATGCCTCTTCTATTGTGACCACCTGTGTGTGAGTGTGTGTGTGTCTTGCCACTCTCCTTTTTAAGTGCAGCCTACAAGCTCACTATGGCAACCAATGGGGCTCTTCTCCCCGCAGCAGGGCTAATGAGGGTTGTGACAGCACATTGTCAGCCTATTATTATAAACCTTATGCCAACACAAAGGGGAACGGGGATTGTTTCAAAAAGACCCTCGTGACCTTAGATCTTCCTTTCTATGACTGTGTGAGTCATTAGATCTGACGGCAAAAAAAAACAGTTTTCCTATGATTAAAATAAATTGCAAATGACAAAAGAGTATGGAGACTAATTGACAAAAATGCGCTACTTAAATATGTTAAAGACACAAACTTGCACTTTCTCTTTACATGTTTACTTTACGATCATGACATGTATACTTAAAAGCAGTGTTTATAATTTCAGCTGCAACAGGTTTCAATTATTTTGTGCTAAATAGTGTATTTGGTTATATTTGAAGCAGAACAGGCTCTAGTTCACTATTACAAGTGGTAGCTAGGAGGATGGATGAGAGCTGGTAGACTTTTGCAGAGGAAGGACATAAAGCCCAGTTGGGTATGTTTGGAATACTTGAGGTTATTTGCTTTTTGCATTTATAAAAATGTATTTTCTTTGGTCATTTCATTTGAGCTAGTGCCATGTTTACATCATTGCAGTGATGGATTTGTTTATTGATGTTTTGGGTCCCTGATGTCTAAAATTGGCTTAATTTTACTCTTCCTGTCTATTTGTTTAGACGTAAATGAAATAGCCTATATTGCCTTGTCTGGGGAGAGATTTGTGCTTATTGATTAAGTAATTGGAAAATGTAATGATGTTTTTGTGGTAATGCCCCAGATACCTGAGAAGCCATGGCTCATTATGTTGCCTCAAACAATTGTCAGACTGGGTGATGACTCAAGACATTGTTTCTATCTACAATGATTTAATTATCTAATGAGGAAGTGGATGTGTCACCAGCTTCATATCAGTGGGAATATCCAACAGCACAAACTGTTTACTTAATGTCCTCCCTTGTGTTCATGAAGGTGTTTGCAAATGGTTTGGTATCTGTCAATTAACATCAGTGTATCTGCCAAATAAAATCTAGATAGGGATTGTTTACACCCTTCATTGGATCCTGCATCCTGAGTCCTGGATCCGGAGTCCTGGATCCAGGACTCCGGAAAGCTCTATCCTGAGTTCTGGAGTTGAGTCCTGGACTTCGAGTTGTGGCTGAACCTATCACTGCGGTCCTGCCTGACTCTCATCATACTACTTCCCTGATGGTTCCACAGGATTGTTGACATCCTCGTGGATTCATCTTCTAATTATAGACACATGCATTTCCAAACATTTGGTCTACCTATGCTGTCAAATGTATTATCTCTTCGATTTACACACGGCATCTATTGCACGTCTGTCCGTCCTGGGAGAGGGATCCCTCCTCTGTTGCTCTCCCTGAGGTTTCTCCCATTTTCCCCCTTTAAACTGTGGGGTTTCTCTCTGGAAGTTTTTCCTTGTACGATGTGAGGGTCTAAGGACAGAGGGTGTCGTATTGTCATACTGATATTCTGTACAAACTGTGAAGTCCACTGAGACAAATGTAACATTTGTGATATTGGGCTATGTAAATAAACATTGATTGATTGATTCATTAATTCTGTTTAAAAGCAGAGATAGGTACACAATGCCTAGGATAGATGACTTTTCTCTAAGCATCAAAATCAACTCTTTTCCAAATATATATATTTTTAGAGATCTTGCAGAAAAAACAGGTGCTCTGGATTCCTTGAAGACTCCATGTATTTCATGCTTGCTTCTATAAAATGTAAAGATGCTTATCAATTTCCTTCTTATTCTCACAGGGCACAGCCAGTGAGGCCACCCTGGTGTCCATGCTCGCCGCCCGCTGTAAAGCAGTCCGCCGCATTCAGGTCTCCAACCCTGAGAAATCAGAGGCTGATATCCTCTCTAAACTGGTGGCTTACACTTCAGAGCAGGTAAGCACAAACAAATATTTACAATCTTACATATTTCCTGTTTAATGCACAGGCCAAGCGTACTTATACTTATACAGATTTCATATTTATTATATCCACAAGTGTAACAATCTTGACTTCTGTAGGGTCTTACTCAACATATTGTTCTTGTAAACTTCCATTATTAAAGGTCAGGAACAGTAAAAGAGATTTTCAGTGATTTAGCGAGACAGAGGGTCAAGGCAGTAGCTAACTCTGATCAGGTTTAATACCAGGCTGACTGTGATTGGGTTAGGGAGTCGCCTGAGGGCCACACAGACCTTTACAGGGACAGCAGTTTGTGTTTCTACTGAAGAACACCATCCTTATATCCAGGTGTACATGTCTAATCTATGTGTGTATTTATTTCTGCATACGTGTTGTGAAGTTAAGATGGGTTTATCTTCTAAAAGCTGAAGGAGATTCATCTGGCGTACAGTGCATTTCTACAACATGTTTCAATTACTTCCTCCTAAGGCTCATTGTTCAGTGGAGCGTGCTTCTCTGATTGCTGGAGTGATGATGAAGAAGGTTCCTGTAGACAACAACTATGGTGTAGAAGGAGCCATGCTTAAGAGGATGCTAGAGCAGGACAAAGCAGATGGACTCATCCCTTTCTATGTAAGAAAATAAAACACTATTTATTCATCCCATTTGCACAGAACACATGGACATAAAATACATTTCAACATTAGATATGGGTGATTTTACCATTGAGATACACACATCTGTCAGTACATTGCTTTGCAAAACATGTAAATCTAACAAACACACACAACTGAGGGAAAAGCTGCAATGATACAAAGTGTGTGATGATGCTATGCACACCCTGAGGCTTCTGCTGTTTGTGGTGAACTTAATGTATGTCTATCAGGTTAAGGACAATAATCCCTGTCTCAGCTGGTCTCACCGATCACTATCAGTGAACAACAGTAGGCTGAAATGGTCCAGGAGCACTAAACCATCAAAGATATCCAGATTTAAATGAGGATATAAAAGGAATTAGATAAAAGTGATATTGCACAGTACCTGAAATAAGTGTGAATTTGTAATCTTTACATTTATATTATAGAGAGTGCCATTGTTGTGAAAAAATGTTGTACCAATTTTTGAAATTGCTACAGGTAACAAAGCACTTCGGGACGTGAATGATTTGTACTGTATGTCTGTGTCTTTTTCAGTTCTGTGCGACCCTTGGCACCACGCCATCATGTGCTTTTGATCACATCACCGAGCTGGGGCCAATATGTGAGTCAAGCTCACACACACAATTTTCTTTTGTGTTACAACAGGAAATGGATTGTAAGCTTTTGTGTGTGTGATTGAGAAACAGACAGACAACAAATTATTTAGTCTGTCAGTTTACCAAACATTCAGTATCTTCCTTCAAAATTCAGTACAAATGATATGCAACTCGTTTCCAAATATATATCTTGGAAATTCATGAATCATATTTTTTATATCTCAGGTTATTAAATCTTGATTGTCAAAAGTTGTTATTTTTAAAACCTTAATAGCCTCTCTGTTTTGTGTCTGTTCCAGGTAATGAAGAACAGATGTGGATGCACATTGATGCAGCATATGCAGGGAGTGCATTCATCTGTCCTGAATTTAGGCCTCTGTTGAATGGCATTGAGGTGAATGGCATATAAAATATCAAAGCGTTCCTGTTCAATTAGTAATGATGTTTAGTTACTCAGTTTTGACATGGTTTGAATCTCGATCATCCCAATATGTGCAGAACAGACTTGATATCGTGTGGTCAACATTTGAAGTGTGCATCCACCTAAATACAAGCTGAAGGAGAAAACAGCCTATTTCTGTTCAATTAGTTGTAAAATATCTCTCATTCGATCTATAAAAGGCAACAATAACTGCATGCTGATTATATCCAGCTGCTTTATTTTTGTTTCAAAATGTCATAACGTTAATGTCAAGGAGGAAGCATGCACGAGTGAGTAATAGGCCGAACAATCGGCATTGGTGCAGGAGCATCAATCTGCCTTTTGAAGCTGCCGAGGAAGCTGTTGCTCCCCGAGCCGTGCAGAGACGCAGAGATAAGGACAGAGTAATTTCCTGAGGCAGCGTTAGACCTTTATATATCACTGTTTATTAGCCACACAAGTTCAAACAATGTTGGTGGGAAGACTCAGAAATCGACTTGACTGTAAAGACCAACTGTGGTTGCATCTAAAATTATCTATTGGAACACATTTCCCTCTTATACTTGCAATTTTACATTTTATTGGAATTAGTATTTAGGGTCCTTCTATGAGGAAGTGGTGAAGGGATTACTTATTAGAAAAACCTACTAATTGTATCCGCATGCTGTTATATAAAGTATATTGTAGTTATAATGTAAACATTTGGAGCCAAAAAAGGTGAATTTGAATGATCCAATGAGAAGATGGTGTGTGTTTTAGGATGAGAGTGCAGCCCTGCTGGAGGGCTGGTTGCTAGGATATGACTGATGGGCGAGCAGGAAACCAGCCCCCTTTGAATCAGTCAGCATGGCAACAGTCAGCCAGGAGTCTGCCTCACATTGTCTCTCCACGCTGAGTTATTGGATTTGTGGAGGTGGAGAAAAGGATATTACAAAAGATAGCCAACATAGAGATGAGAACAGATTGGGAAAGGTTTGTTTCTCTTTGAAGAAACGCTGCCAGGAAAGGGTTACTTTCCCTGCGCTCTGCAAGCTGTCGGCTGAGTGTTCCTCCTTTGCATTTCAAATATACTGAGGATGCTTTAGTCCAGATAACGCTGTTGGTGAAAGGGTGTCACTGACTGCGTCAGTAATGGTAAATTAAGATGTAGTAAGATGTGTGTTTTGGTCAACACACATTTTTCAAGTTTAACTAAAGATACAGAAATAATATTAATACTTTTATAACCATTAATTTCATGTATTTTGTTTTACTTCCTAAAAATATTAAGCAGTATATGCACACAATGAAATACACTGATATTTAATGAAATCATAAATGTTTTATTTAGATTTTCGTTATTTCATACATACATGTTAAATCAAACTTGATTCCTTTCTATTGTTTATTCTCTTTTCTTCTAAAGTTTGCAGACTCATTCAACTTCAACCCACACAAGTGGCTTTTGGTCAACTTTGACTGCTCTGCAATGTGGTAAGTTATACATTTCATTATAGCGTGTGACACTAAACCCCGAGATTTATCATCCCTCTTTTTAGCATTTAGCATGGTGTGTTTGTGAGTGTCCAACAAGGACAGAACTTAAATGTGTTATAAAAGGCCACAGGGCTCATATTACCTTTGTCACATTTAAAGAAAACATACAGATATGAGGGTGTCTGATACAAAATGATAGCCAATGACGTCAACAAAAAGGAGGTTGTTCAAGTCACACTATTATATACTGATGTACTGTAATGAACTACAGTGTGAAGAATAAGACATTTAAAAAGGGCACATGAGTAAGCATTTTTGACATAATAATGTCAGTATATATGTCATATCAGTAAACTTATTATTATTATTATAATAAACTCAATTGAGGATCAGTGTGTTATTTGGTTTGATGAAAATATTACAAAGATGTGGAAGATCCTGTAGACTTCTGGCCCAGCTGCAGGTTCATGGGCCATGACAATAACACCTTCTGTATTTTGTCAGATTATTTACCAATTTAGCTCAGAGTGACTCATTGCCCCATAAAGTAACAAAGAGTAATCCATTTAAAACCGGTTTCCATCTACACCTCAATCATTTGTAGAGTAAAAATAGAACTACGCCTCCCATCTGCCCTTCTGTCAGCAGCAAACAAAACGAGACATGCTCTGAACAAGATGCAAACAGAGGTGAATCAAATCTGACAGAAGGGGGCGGGAAGAGGGGATAAACCCTTTTTCCATCAGCTCTGGCTCAGCTTGTCACTGCTCACAGGATAACTGTTGACTTATATTTATTTATTTAATGCAGTATATTTAGACACTAAGAATACCCTATACTGTGTAAATCAGTACACCATACTAATAATGTAGTGTATTACTATCAGGTTATTTAAGACACATGTCATATGTAAAATACAAGGGGAACACTAAACTATTACTAAACATAATATATGATGGTGCCAAATCTATAAGATTCCTTTGCCCTTATTAAATGGTCAGTTAATATTTGATGTAAACATTATCTCTGCTTGTCAAAACCTATCAACAGGGTAAAGAAGAGAGAGTCAATTATTGGAGCCTTCAAGGTGGAACCTCTTTACCTGAAACACGAAAACCAGGAGTCAGGTTAGATCATTCACTTATAGTATTTGAATCAATGATCACAGATCAGGTTGAATTGACTTTGGCCTTTACAGCAGAACATGACAACAATGAACACCTTTTACCTTGTTTACTGTTTAGTTGTGAATAGGGCAGTTAGTTTGAGCCATATTTCCGATTAAACATTAGCTGCTGAAGCATGCACCAACCTCTTAAAACGCAGTGTTGTGAAGCCTATCCAGCTTAAATAGGCATGAAGGTGAATGTCTGACAACCAGACAGTTGTACAAGAGTGTTCTTGTAAACCTATGTTTGTGAGCACATTTTCACAACTCGATGCTAGCTGAAGTTACGTTTTTACCTTTGTGACCTCACATAATATATATACAGCCCAAAAACATAATCTCGAAAAATGTCAACAAGACCTAACATAGAAAAGAATATATAATATGCATCAATGTCTGTGTGTTTGTCTTCTGTGTGTATTCTTTACATGCTATTAGCCTGCAGATGGGCTCAGAGCTGCTCTGTAATTTGTCTGTCACACAAGCACACAGAGGGAAAGACAAAGCTACCTCACCACACTGAGGCACCTCACGAAAAGCCATTCGCTTACACAATGTGGGTTCTTCCATCTAATGAGTGGTTTCTAGCTCCAGCTAAAAAGAGATGAGCTATCTGTAGCCAGTAGCCTGTGTGGGCTGACTGAGTGGGGGGGGGCATGGGGGGCACGATGACACAACACCTGGACGGTGGAAGGCAATGCCAAATACAACACCTGACAATAGATCATTTTCTAAAGCGAATAATGTTTAATGTCAATGCTTTGTTCATTGCACTCTATACAGTAGGTACCAGTTGTTGTTGTCTGTTGTTTTCAGCATTTTTGTTCGGATGTCGTGACCAGAACACTAATCCCTAAATATCTTTTTATAACAAGTTGCTTTTAAAATGTAAACTATAAGTATATGATGTGACATTTTTAACTGAAATGTTTATTCTTTCACAGGGGTGATCACAGATTATAGGGTAAGATAAAAGTTCTTTAAATAAGTTATTCCCACAATTTACAAGATATAAAATGTTCCAAATTACCCAAAAACGTGCAGAGGGTTAACCCTATATATTGGACTCTCTACCTCCTGTGCCCTGTAGCACTGGCAGATTCCCCTTGGCAGAAGATTTCGCTCACTCAAGATGTGGTTTGTCTTCCGTTTGTATGGGCTCCAAGGCCTACAGGATCATATACGCAAGGTAGGACACCAGCTGAATAATCCATCATGTATCATTGCTCTTACATTTCTTTAATGGTCAAAATCTTAACATTTATCTCTGAAAGTATTAAGAGAAATTCAGTTGATAGGTTCTGTTGATTCATGACCTTTAACATATTATGTTTTCATTTCTCTAACCAGTTAATTGAGGTAACAATAGTTTTATAATAAATGCCATCCCATCCGTCCATCAAACGCCTCGGCCAACATAATCTTCCTTAGCACTAAAGTCTATTCCCTGCCCTCATCTCTGCCTCCATCAGCGCATCCTGTCAGTCTTATACGTCTGGTCTGCATCTTCTTTTTATAGCAACATTTCTCCTCCAATGCCCATCCTTTTCTCCATGCCTCTCTCTCTCCCCTTTCATATTCCTCTTCCTCCCTCCAGTCTACTCTTTCAATCAAATGAGTCTGTTTTGCGTTTACTTCCATTTAAAATGAAGCGGCAGCAGCAGCAGTGAGCCCTGCGGCCATAACCCATGACACACTGCTCCACTGTGCATCCGTCCTCTTGATTAGATATAACAGTTTGATCTGTATTTTTTATCCTTTAAATCTAATCAAACAATATTTAGCCTACAAATTGAAATACAGAATGCGAAACAAACTGAATTGTCTTCTTTCCCAGTGGAGGAAAACATTTACTTTGTTTCTTTACGAATACCTAATGATGAATCTTCCTTCCCTGAGAAAAAGTTGTAAATTAAGCATTTTAATGTCAAAGGCATGTGGAATGTGAGTCTAACTAGCCTACAGTAATTAGAAATGAGGTCATTATAGTATATTGGCTTGTAAACATCTCTGAGTGATGGTGAATTACTGGCTGGGAATGAGAACACAAGATGGTGGTCAATCCGTTGGTCATTCGTAACTTTCATCAGCTTTATAGAGAAGCAGGAGAGTGGAGGTCCTCCTTGTTATTGTGATCAGATGCAAGAATACAGGTTTAGTGTTTCACCATTCTTTGATCATACGTGAATTAATGAGGTTTGTGTTGTATGTATGATCATATTTTGCCATTTAAAAAATGTGTAAAAAGGAGTGCACATTATTTGATGGAAGCAGAATATGATGCAGACTATTTCATGGTTAATGGCAGTGCTTCCTATCAGTTCAAAAAACCCTTGAATCAATGGGGTTGTTTATCAATCGTTTCAAATGGTTCCATTGAGATTATAGTAAGGATGTTACACTATAAGGTATAGAGTAGACTGAACCAGTTGGAAACAGTTTTCTTATTTTCTACCAGTGGGAAAAAAAGGCTCTGATCTGTATGACTGAAAGCCATTATAACTGCCATCTAGTGAACATCATTGAAATTACAACATTTAGCAGAGTTGCTTGTCAAATATTGTCTTGTTGAGGTTATCTGATATACTTTAATCTACATGCAGAGTAAATTATAAAGTACATTTACCAACCTGCAGTTGGTCATAGCAGATTACAGTTGTGTATTCTCTTTACAGCAAGTGGCCCTGGCCAAAGAGTTTGAGAGTCTGGTGCGAGCAGACAACAGGTTTGAGATCTGTGCAAAGGTCGTCATGGGACTGGTCTGCTTCAGGCTCAAGGTAAGCACATCCAACATCTAAGGACCACATGTACTTGATCCATGTGTTCCTCTTCTGTTTGTGAAAGTGTGGCTGTATTGTTGAATATATATTATTCAACATTGTTCTGAGTGAATATAGACCTCCCAGTTATCAACAAAATTGCAACATGATACATATTTTAACCCAGTAACCCAGTGTTTAGGCAAGACCAAATTCCAGACTTTGGTATATCTTCTCACTGTGATAGGTTTGTTCTTCCTTTCCCCCTCCTTTCAGGGCTCCAATGGGTTGAGCGAGCTCTTGCTGAAAAGGATCAACAAGAGCAGAGAGATCCACCTCGTGCCTTGCCAGCTCTCCGCCCGCTTTGTCCTGCGCTTTGCCATCTGTGCACGCAGTACTGAATCAAGACACATCCAGCATGCATGGAAGCATATCACGAAGCTCACCTCTGAGATGTTGGAGTAGAGGCATTAACCAAAAAAGATTCTGAAAGGAGGACCAAAGTTAGTTCACAACATCTAAATCATTTTGCAGGTATGAAATGTCATAAAGGGAATGAACAATACTTCATAACTCACTTAGCAGTCAGGTTCTGTTCTGTTCTGCGGAATTTTGAAAATGATTGTATGTGAAAATAATTATATTAGAAATCTACAAAAAAAATTAAATGTGAATAAATGAAAATAATGCGCTTCTGTGTCTTCTACATACAAAAAAGGTGATTGGAATGGAGAAAGGTTTTGTGTTAATATTGCAAATTTTTTATTTGATTGAGTTTTTTGAGTATGTGTCTAATTTTCTATTGGTGGTGCTTTTTGATGTTGTACGCTAAAAAATAAGGAGTTGTTATGGTGTGAAAGAGTTATTTTATCACATTGCTCATGTTGTTTGGCGATATATTTTATGGAGGACTTCGAAAAGCCTGTAAAGGTAAAGAAATTGTTGCTCCTACTAATCAGGTAAAACCCTTTTACAAGTGCATTCATTTATTGATGACCTTATCGGCAAAAGTACTTATTGTAATAGATGATGATAGGCAAGGTTTTATAATAAAAAATTTAAAAAGATGATATTCTATTCTATTATTTCAATAGTGTCTTATGCACAGAGTGTATTACTGAGTGTATTCCCAAACATTACAATGAGACAGGGAATTTATTTGTGACACAGATTTAACATAATCGGCATGTACTGTATTGTGTGTTCCAGTAATCTAGGATCCTTCACAACATCCACATGTATCTCTCCCTAAATACTGCTTGTGTAAGCCTCAAGATAAAAAAAAGATTGTCATGATTTACAAATGTAAAACTTCTAAAACAAGGCTAGTCTCCTGTCTGTCAATAAAACGTGTCACCATGGTGTCTGGGTTGCTAATCCCTCCTATTTGTCTGCCAGGGGAAGACCTGCATATCTGTGGTGTGACCTCATCGAACCTTGTTGTCAATTCATTTGAATGTTTCAAAGTATACTACTTTCTGACTTGGCGGTGCAATGGTATGGGTTTGTTTCAATAAAGTCTTCTCTAGTCTGCAAAGTGTTTGAATCTCTCTTTTTAAATAATCATTAAAGGTTTATAATATATCAGGGTCACTATGTAAATATTGAAAAGGGGTGTTGTGGTGTTTTAAAGTTTTGGGAAAAATCTGGGCTACATTATATAGTATGAAAAGGTTCTGTCTGCACATAACTGTTACAACCTGTTAAGCCCCGCCCCCAAGCCTGTTTTTCAGGTCTCAGGCTCGAAAATGACATTCCCAGAACAAATGACCATATCTTCCCTTCTAAAAGGGTTAAATTAATAATCTTTTTTCTCAAAGTAATGATAAACCTGTGAGTTGGATGTAGAAAAGTCAGAATCAATATAAATGTTTTTTATTTTAAAGAAAATTCAGATTGAACATAGTAAAAAACTGTAAATTATAGAGTCCGTCCAAAAATTATCTTTTACTTATAGTGAAAACTGTGGGGGAAACTTCTGTGTAGCAATGCAGTGCGAGTCACAGACTCAGGAAGGAGACACTGGATAGAGCTGGAGCTTTGATGTCAAACACTGATGGTTTATTAGGAGCTTCGGCCGGAGAATTCACAAAACAAGTCCAAGAGCCAGAGGTTCTGACTTCACGGTAGAGTTGTCACGTCAATTCTGAAGAACTCTACCCCAGACCCATGTATTTAGCTAGTTCAGAGAGAATAATCAACATTGTGCATAACAAGATAGAATCATAACACCTCTATCAGCTGACGCCAACAGGCAGGAACAGGGAGACAAAACACTGAGAGCACAGCAGCCAAGGTTACAGGTGTGTGTGCTCAGTCAGGACAGTATGAACTGATAAACTGGGTCAAAGTCATGGGCCTTGGAATATATTTCCCCAACAAAAACTACCCTTGGATGATGGTAAGGTAGACTAAAAGCTTTAGGAATCCAAAATACAACATATAATAAGTACCCTGTATCAAGATTGATGCAAAACAATTGACATTTTTTTAGAGAGGTTTAGCAAAAAAAACTCCAACTCTGAGGTGATCTGGGTGGAAATGGCCTTTTTTACCGTTTCTCTGGAACCCATTGGTCGATTTTGGTGATTGACATCTCTTTCTGACCGTTAGAGCCAATAGAATCGAAGGGGAGTTTCCACATACACACCAACGTTACCATTGAGAAATGAGAGCTCTGCGCACGCAGTTTTGCATGAGAGTGAACCTATCTCTCGCTCTGACATCTGAAAATGAAAAAGCAGGTTTATTGCTTATGGATTATCAGAAATCATTTCAAAGGGACACAGACACATTGGATTAACCTATGGATTAACTTCAGCAGCGTTTTTATCGTTTTAATGCCTTGAAGACCACTTTTGACTAGACAACGACACAGGTAAGCCATGTTAGCGTTTTTAGCTACCTAGCGCCACATGTTTTGATGTCTGTTTTTGTTTATAAAGTCGCAAGTTCTTATCATGGAGTGATGATGTAGGTACCGATCGATTCTGTGTCTTCTCACGATGCTAGTCGATATGTTGGACGTTGTTGATAAATCGTGATCTTCTCACTCCCAGGAAAGAAACTTAAAATAACGAGACTAATGGAGTCTCTGAAAAGGCCCGCCCCTCCCTACAGGCAGATCACGCAGACTGCTAAAGTTTCAAATGTTCTCTTTAGTTCAGTTTCCATTGTCGCATAAGACTGATCCAGATAGCTCTGACTATGGCTGTCCTCTGTCTCCTGCTATCTGTATTTTGCGCAGTATATCTCTGAACGATGCGATGGTGATTCCACTGTGCAAATGGGCAACATTACCTCTACTATGAAGGATGCTACAAGCCTGTCCATCTCTGCTTTGGTTACCGGTCCTCCAAATTCTAATTTGTGCCGCTTCGGAGTCGGCGGCGGCGACTCACAACATCCTCACTCTGGGTTCGGGGGTCCGGTCCTTAGCTATTAGCTTCACCTTAGCATGTGTTCTTTGCAGGTGTTTGTTGAGGTTTGACGTGGTGTTTGCAGCAGTGTATAACAGCTTCTGGCCTGGACACAGTTTGCACCTCACCGTCACATTCCTGTCTATTCTTCGGACGAACTCAAAATAATGGGCATACCTCCACCCCTCGAAAGTTATCGCTGACTCTGCCATGTTTATGCAGCACTGCGCGTGGATATGTGGACGCGCAAGTCGCGCAGATTACGTACATATAAACCTGCGGCAGAAACCCCTCTTGTCTGTCAGTGTGATTATGACTGATTTTATAAAAGTAACGAAGTAACGCGTGTCGGGGCAATGTTAGTAACTGTAGTGTGATTACTGAATTATAAAAGTAACGCGTTACACTACTCCGTTACCGACAAAAGTAATATTATTACAGTAACGCGTTACACCCAACTCTGCGTTACTTTGTAACGCGTTACACCCAACTCTGGTTATGAGTGAGTTTCTGTGCCAAACGCAGTTAGCATTTTTTCGCTCGAGGCTAATTCATAGGCCCAGCGCTAGCTTTGTGGGTTTTTTTGAAAGAAAAAGAAAAAAAGATCATTTAGCTGAGTTTCTTCCCGTTACATGGATATAAAACATTCATAGTTTATTGAATATTAAGATGCCCTCAGGCGCTGTTTCCTGCAGATGACGCGTTTTCCCCCCGGTGTCGGGGGTGCGGTGTGGAAGAGGTTAAATTAATAATGGCTCAAACAGAGAGCATAACATGTTCGGCACCACCAACAACTATTGGATGCAATCAGTGTTTATGTTTCCTGGTAGTCACTAAAAGACTGGTGAATACAAATTCAGCGTGATATAGCCCTGCTTTCACTTAACTGCAGTGTACTAAATTAAAGATGACAGGCGTACAGTACACACACACACACACACACACACACACACACACACACACACACACACACACACACACCACACACACACACCACACACCCACACACACACACACACACACACACACACACACACACAGCAACCATTATGCTGTGCACTTCTCTGAGTTTCTCTGAGCAACCTATAATCCCTGAGGACAAAGGCCAGCGTACTATAAATACAGATAAGGATTCAGTAGTAGAGGTTAATTCTTAGCACCATATTACTGGTCAACAGTATTGGCCTGTTCACTTACTTCAAAAGCTAAATTAAGATTGTTCTGCAGGCTGTATACAAGAAGATCTTTATAGTTTTTGTTTTGAGTATTTTGCTTTAACTGTAAAACACTTACAATCGTGCAGCTGGTTGAGAAAATGCCAGGAGACAAGTTCTTAAGGACTGTCTGCTCAGACAAACTGTAAACTAGGGTGATGGCACACATGGGATATAACAATGCTATTACAGGGGTGCAAGTTCAAATGCTTGTGTGAGTGCTCTTGGCCATATAAATAAAATATGTGCTTTTGCGAGACGCTCTGTTTGCATTGGTTATTGAGTGAGATGTCAGTGCTTAAATGCACACAGAGAGATACAAGTAAAGGGATTTCTTTTTTGCAGGTTTCTTTTGCAAATTATTTTTCTCAAAGCATTGCTTTGGGAACAGTCAAATTCATCAGTGTGGTACACATGCTCAATGTGGTACAGACTTGTATTTTTAAGGCCTCAATAATTCTACATAGTATATCTTGTTGACGTCAGTATAAATGTGGTCTACAGTAGGCTATATATGACGATATCATTTTCCAATAAAAAACAGCTTGTCAGAATAACAAAATAATGAGTATACTCAGTTTGAGGCATCACTTTAGTTGAGGGTGCAAAAAGAGATACTAGTGATCAAGTAATGAATAATGAATAAGTAGTTAGTACTCATTAGCAACTATGCCGGTCAGCGAAAGTGGACGACATTCTAAATTACAGACATTTAAAAATGAGTGCCTTAAGGTTCTTGTCATTCATCATTATCTACTATTAGTTCAACTCACACTTGTGTGCACTTTGTGTACTGTGTGTGTCTACTTTATTGTTGCTCTTCCTCAATGTAATGCAATCTTTTGCAATGATTGCCTGGAGTTGGAACTGCTCAGTTTGGCCCACAAGAGCTCGCCATTACACATGTTTCCCAGAGAAATGCTGCCACAACTGCTGTCAACTGACATTCACACCGTTGTCATTGGATGACCCGAATCAGCACACTGATGATAAAGGCACCAATTGATGACTAATAGATTAGTGCCTGCCCTCTGCATGTCCAATATGTCTCTTCTAGACAAAATACACTGCATACAATGCAATGTAATCTTACTGTTTTGGTTTACTTTCACCATTCTCGTGACACAGCACTAAACAGCAGACAGACACAGTGAGCGACAATCTTGTGAGCATTTGGCACGACTGACTAATGGACTTGCTTTCATCTGGTTGTCAGAAAAACGAATGAATGCTTATGTTGTTCAGTATCTGCTAGACGTGTGAATAGGCTTCTGTTTACTTACAGTACCGTGTCAACTTAAAAGGTGATGTTGGTGTCAGTGTTGTGTTCCAAACTTGTGGCATGAAAGTCAATATGTGTGACAGAGAGTATCACTGATGATTAGATTGAAACCAGGAAGAATATGGGACCATTTGCGGCAATAAGAAAAGTATATTGTGTCCATTACTGGCACCCAATTTAGCTTTGGGCCAACTCCGAGTCTTGGCTCTTTGCTGTATTAAATGTCCTCTAACGTCCTTGCCTTTCATTTGACTCTCCACGCTTTCACTAACTGATCAATTTAGCTGAAGTGCATAATAAATAAATATAATGTATTAAACAAATTATTACTGACTGATTATGATTGTCTCATCATATCAATCTATCATGAATCAGTCAATAGGTCCAAATGCAATTTTGAAAGAATAACCCTCCGTTTCAAAGTATAATAAAAAAAAGTGTACATAAGTGTACTGTACTGAATTTAATGAAATGTATTATGTCAACACATTTCACACAACTGTATTATGTTAGTTGAAAGCAATAATATTAAGTTGAACCTAATATTTTACAAAGTGATGTGAAATCTGTTGAGATAATACATTTAAATAAAGTCAACGTTTTTTTTTTTCTGTGTACAAGT